CCTGTGCAGAAAATACCTTCTGCTTATGTCTAAACTATTGTGACAGATGACTTTTAATTAATCCATCATTAAATCATTTTTGACTTAGAGCAGAAATAATCCAAAACATAAAGTCTGAAAATTCTGACTCCCGTTTCACCAGACTGGGGAAAGGCAGAAAAATTTCTGCCTGGTACATAAACCCCAGGCAGGTCATGCAACGCTTCAAGGGAGCTTGCAAAGGATGTCATCCATAACAGCCCTCCTGGGAATGGAGAACCCCACTTGTGGGCCTCTGCTTTGAAAGGGATGGGGGAGAAGATAGCAGGGAGGGACTGTGGAAGAGGCAGTGGTAGAGGAAGGCACGAAAGCCATCTTCTCAGAGATGGTATTTGAGGAAACATATTTCTTCATTGCAGAGTTCAAAGTTAGCAGGCAATATTGGATCACCTAAACAAGCCTCATGCTAAATATAGCTTTGGCTATAAGCATCTCCTATATAATGTAACCAGCAAGTGCCAGCTCTTCGTAGTGACAGGATTGGGTTTTATTAGACTGCTCAGTTGCATCAACTTGGACCAAACCACTGCTACTTCTAGACTTCTAGAAAGCAATAGCAGACCATCTGGGATGTACCATCCCTGAGATTCACGAAAAAAGCTTAATTATTTCACAGGCTGTGATCTGGCATAGGGCCAAAATAAGGGATCTCCATTTAAAGGTCTGTGAATAACACCAGATAGCATTTTAATAGTCAGGCAGTATTAACAGTCAGCTCATGCTAATAAAAAAAATAAAAACATGAAAATTTCCCTACAAAATGTGTATTTTTTTTTTAAAAAATGCAAGCTGTAATAGCTTACTACAGAAGGTTGAAAATACTTTTGACTTTTTGGAAATCATCACTATCTTATGTTATACAAAGGAGAGCCCTACATCCTAGAACCTGAGTGTTGCAGTGTTGAGCTCCAGGAGCCACTCAGCAGGCATCCTGTTTGCTTGCCATAAAATCCAACCAGCAAATCATATCTATTTGACTTCTGCATATGAGAAAATGCCTAAATTTGAAATGTCAGTTTGTACAGCTCTAATTGTAACTAAGTCTAGTAATTCAGCTTCAATCATAATGATATGCCTTCGTTTAGTTCAAACTTGGTTTCTGTTTGTGTTTTGTCATGTGACATGCTTTGTCATGCTTTGTCACAACTATTGTAGCCCTGATACCAAATGACTATTTTCTTGCGCAGATTTGTCCAGAACTTAAAAAAACCCAAACATCAAAACCCAAACCAAGCATAAAACCTACCCCCAAACTTGCCCCCGCCAAAAAACCCCAAAACAACAACAACAACAACAACAGCAAAAAAAAAAAAAAAAAAAACAAAAAAGCCCCCAAAAACCAAAACAAAAAACCCCAAAAAAACCAAAAAAATCCACCTAGAGAAGAAAGGAACAATGAACAATTTTTATGAACAAACAAGAAACTACCCTCAAACCCATCCAAGTTATGGCTTGTTTTACAACGGCATATTTCCCATGGTCTGTCCTTCCTGGCTATGCTCTTGCTCATCTCTGCTGCTGGTTTTGAGACACCCAGCTCTGTAAGTTTGCATTTAATGGGAACTAAAGAGGGAAAAGCTGCCACTATTGTCCCTGTGTGCAGCAGCATATCACTCCTGGATGTGTCACAAGGCAGCCTTCAAACACTAGTGAGACTGCTGTCCCATTGCAGCCTGTGAAAGGGCAGAAAACACTTCCAGAAGCCCCTCTGGAAGAGGGGAAAAGAGTGTCAGAGCCTAATCTGTGGCAACAAGAATAGAAAACATAGTATTCTGAGTTAGAGAAATATGATAAAGGAAACCAAAACTTAAAAGAGGGGGAAAAAAGCAAAACAAATCCCAACCACTCAATAGGAAGCATGGAAAGCTATTCCAATAACCAGAAAGTCCCTAATCCAGACAAGACTTGGTCTGAACTGTGGTGGGTTATGCTACTGCCAGATGCTATTCCTAATGTGATTTATTTCAAGAGAATATTGGACTTGGCCAAGAAGCTGCCTTTGTTTGACTTGTTTTTTCTGCAAGTCTTGAGTGCTACAAAGGGCACTGGGATGGGCTTCACTCTTCTAGAACTTATTTTTGCCATTTGTTAGACACACTGCTGGGAAATTAAGATACATTTCAAAACCATATTTCAGCATTGCAACAACTGATATGATTACACTCAGGAAAATGATCAACCATTCATTTAGACAGGCCAGCTTTGATGCTGATTACTGCAGTCCTGCTGTTGTTGGTGCTTAATGTAATATCCGCTCCTACAAGAAGGAATAGCCATTAAACCAGTCTATAAGTAGATTATTCCCTTCTCCACAGGGAGGTGTCTCTGAGGCAGGGACTGAAAGCCCTGTGTTGAGCTGAAATGGTGTCCTGGACCGTAGACAGGGATTGGGAAGTCTTCAGGGAAAGTGGATGAGGGCCAGCAGTCCTGGTCATGACTTCAAGGTCCTGACACACATAAACCCACTCTTCTTCCTTCAAAAGCAAGCAAATGAGGGGCTCACATGAGTTTACTGGCATGGTCAAGGTGTTCAGCAGTGGAGAAGACAATTATTTCTTGCAACAATTAGAGTGTGAGGTTGAACAATCCTCCTGGTCATAGCAATATTAAGTTGTACTTTTCCACATGTCTGCCCATCTTTCTCCATCCATGCCCTCCTCTAAACAGCTTCTCCTCCCACTGCTGGGAGGCATTTAGCCTCACAGAGACCTAGCAGGCTCATCTATATAAATTGGGTGTTAAGTCAGAAGGAAGAGGCCCGGGATGTTTACAAGCATGGTCTTGATGGATGAAAGGTATTCTGAAGAACATTGCTGTAATGAGGGGGAAAAATCCTGCAGCAGAAATCTTGGTAGAAAAGAGATTTCTCTTTCTCTCACGCTCTTTCTTTCTTCCCCTTATCTGACCAACTGAGACTGAACTCCTCTAAATCTTTCCCACATGATCGGAAAGACACTGTTCAGCAGCATGGCCATACATTTTGCATTTATTTCTGGTAACTAGAGAGCCAACAAAGGCTTCCCTTCAATATCCAAGCATGCTGGTAAGAGCAGAAGATATGTGTTCACAAACATAAATGCTCAAAGCCTAGAAAAGGAGTGAACCAAGAACTGCTAGCATCTCTTTATAAAGGAAAATTGAATAACAAAGATGCAGCGATGTAAACATGAGTTTAGGCAGGATAATGTACCTCTATGTGCAAAAATAACTTCCCAGAATAAAATTACTTTTACTGTGGACATACTAGCAAAATAAGGAGTTTTTTATTCCAGAATAACTTCTCCTTGTTGAAAGCAGATCAGTTGCTTATTCTGGGGCAGTGTCTAACAGCATGCATACCACTGCAGCTAGTGAACTGCAGGAACTCACCTATGAACTGCACTTTCTGTCAGTTTTCCCAATAAGCAAGATGTATTAGTGTCTGGGGGCGTGTGTATGAGAGGGAGATAAGACATTCTTCCTTTATCAAAAATGAAAAATCAAGTAATAAAATCTCAAGAAAACACAGTGTGCTTCAAAACCACTCACTGCATCATGAAAAGCTGTATAGGAGAACTGGAGCTCCTCACAACCTATTATTTAATGATAATCTGAAGGAATGAAGTCCAGTTTCCTACAGCTCTGCCTCATGGGCTTTACTGAACTACAGTGGCTAAAAAGACAGATGCTCCAGTTAACTTTTCTCACTGATGTCACGTGTACATGCAGATTTTGAGGCATGTTGCAGCACATGAACTCCTAATGTCACCTTTGCCATGCTCTGAGCACAAAGAGGTACTTAACTTCATCCATCTGCCTTCTTTTTCTTAAACTTGCAATTTAATTGCCTTTGAGAGTTTTACTCAGCTGAAACTGATTGGTGCATTCAAAAATTAATGATGAGACACGTGGATGCATGTACACACAAGGGGTGGAACATATGAAATACAGAGATACCAACATTTCAGCTGCGGAGTAGCTGAGGAGAGGAATGGGTTGCTATGGAGCTTTGTTTATCACATGTAAGATGTGGAAGAGAATTTCCCTGATTGACCATAAGGGTAAGACTAGGCTGAGCAGCATGGATGCCTATGCCACAGGTATCCAGGTTTCAGACAAAGTACATTCTGCTGGAGCTTTCATAGGAATCTAGCCTTGAACTCAGCACTGACTAGGACTACTGCTGTGGTTGCTATTCAGAAAACTTCTGCAGTTAGGCTGGGAGAAGGTAGGCAAACTTTTTTAAAAATCATACATTTGTATGTCCTCAAGACAGTGAGATTTTATTTTCCCATAATATGGGTGAAAATCAGCACAGTAAATGAGCATTCAAAGTTTAACCTATTTTTTTTGGCGGGTTGTAATTAAAATCATGTTGGCACTTACTGCCCAATATCTTTCTTGGATAGCTTTCAAAAGAATTAGGAGGTCTTTGAATTAAAAAAAAATAAAAAGGGAGCTGATAAAAGTTTTGTTGGAAAGCCTTCATCCCAGCAGCAAAATGTGCAACAGTTAAGGCTGAATCTCAGAGCCACAGGATGAGATGAAGCCTGAGCAACACAATGCAGAGGGCAAAGCTACAGATGGACTGTTATGAAACCTGAGAAACAGAGAAGAGCTTGAAAAAGAAAAAAGCTTTCTAATCTGATACCTGAAATATAGTGGGGCACTAATGAATGAGGGAAAGAGACTTCCTCCCATTATCTGGAATGATCAAGGAAAAACAATAAAGAGCTATAAAATACTATGGGAGGCAGCAGGAGTAGCTGAAGTCTTGATTGCAGCCTGCAACCTTGCCAAGACTTGATGACAAAAATGCATTAGCCCTGCCCCATGAAGGGGTGAAGGGTCCTGGCTCTCCAGGCACTGGATTTCTGCTGTGGGCTTCAGCCCTCGGCAGGCTCTCAGCATGTCAATAGCAAGGCTGGGCCGGCCGGGTCAGCGGCCGGGTACAGTCCTGTGCTGTGTGCTGTGCGCTGTGTGCCCTGCTGGGCTTTCCAGCCTCTGGCTGGGAAAGGAAAACTGGGAAGGGATGCTGTGGATGCACTACTGAGCAGGAGAAGGTGGAGTGTGTCTGTGTGTGTGGGAGGGGACAGTACATGGAAGTGTGTGTGTGTGTGTGTGTGTGTGTGTGTTTGTGTGCAAGCCCGCACATTCCCTGTCTGGGGAGGTCTGAGAGGTGCGTGCATCCCATACGTAGGAATGTTAACGTGGATTCAGCCGTGTGTGAGAGGGGAATCCCCTGCCTGGAGGGTGCCCTTAGCGTGGGTTGTGTGTGTGCGTGCGTGTGTACATCCCCTGCCTGGGGGGTCAGTGTGGGCTGTGTGTGTACATGCATGTGCACGAGTGTGTGTGCGTGTGTGTCTGTGTGTCTGTCTGTGGGTCTGTGAGCGTGCGCACCCCTCCTGAGGCACTGGCGCGGTGTCTGTGCGTGGCTGGTGTCTCTGAGCGCGGATCCCCACCCGAGCAGGGTGCGGGGGATGCGCCCCCTTAGTCCGGGCGCGGTGTGGGGAGGGGGGCGCGCGCCCGCCGGGGCAGTGCCGGGAGCGCGCAGCCCCCGCCGTGCCGGGGAGCGCGGGGCGGGCGCGGGGGCGCGCGCGGCGCTCGGGAGCGCGCCGGGCGGGCGGGGGGCGGGGGGCGCCCCGCGTGCCCCGGCCGGGAGCGGCCGTGCCCCCCCGCCCCGCACCGCCGCCGCCGCCGCCGCCGCGCACAGCCGCAGACACGGGCGGCCGCGCCGGCAGCCGGCGGCTCGCATGCAGCCGGGGATTACGGCGGGGCGAGGGCAGCGAGGGCTCCACTCTTATCCCCCCCCGGCCCCCCCCATCCTCCGCCCGACACCCCAGCCGCTCGCCGCGCGGCTGCTCCGGCGGGTTTTCGTCTCCGGGGGTAGGAGGGAGATGCCTTTGCCGTGGTTTTTCCACCCCCAGCCCTCTCCGTGCCGGGAGAGGCGGTGATGTGGAGCCGAGAATGTAGAGGAAAACCCTCCCCGGGAAGGAGCGACCAAAACAAATCCCTCGCCGTGGCTGTGGCGGCCGCGCGGTGCCCGGGGAAGCCCGAGCAGCCCCTGCCAGCGCTGGGGAATCCCTCCTGCAGCCCCCGGCGGCGCCCCGGGCGCCCGCGGAGCCAGGTAAGCGGGAGGGCATCCCTCTTGCGCCGAGGGCTGCCTTTTGCGTTTATTTGTGTTCACTGGAGAGCCCGAGCCATGGCCAGCTGCCGCGCTGCTGGGACAGCCCGCGGAGGCGAGGGCTGCCCGCGGTCCGGGAGCGCCCGGGCGGGCCGGGAGCGCGGAGCTCCCGCGGGAGCCCCGGGGTGCCCCGGGCCGGGAGCGCCCCCGGGCACGGAGCGCGATCGGCGGGGCGGGACGGAGCCGCGGGGCTCTCCCCGGCTGCCTGGATCCGTCTGAGGCTGGCTAACAGAACCCTCACCCTGGAGCGCTTCGGAAACCGTGGCTTGTGTTTTTGTTCCTTCAGAGCTGCTAAAGGGAGGGAGGGAATGACATTTCGTAGTATTCTGCCTCCTGCCGTGGGTGAGCTCTAGCGATAAAGGCTCGTCATTTGTTTCCGATGCTCTGATAGTGCTTGTGGAAACCTGATGATACAAAACCTCAGCCTTCTCGGTAGCTGTCGTTGGAATTATCCCATCCTCCCGGGGACTGAAAAATCCCCTCTACAGAAGAAAATACATGTAGCATTGTGGTAGTCTAAAATATACTGTCATATATGCTTTCTGTAGGTAGGGAGCATGCTGGCCCCTGGATTTAAAAATCTAAATGTCTTTATGAATAGGCATGTTCATTGGCTACATGGCTTCTACAAACCATTCAGTGTGTTTCTTCCGTCAGAATTTCACTGCCTGGGTGAAGGTAGACCTTTGTTTATACCCTGTGTATGTACTGTCCATATTTATAGTAGGGTTTGGACTTCATTCAATTCAAGTTACATAATGATTAAGATACAATAGGCAATATATATGCAGTTTCTTGGACATTTTAATTCAATGCAGAAAACACTGACTCTAGCAACACTGCCAAAATTGTCACTTTTTCAATGTTTGTGTAAGAAAGCAAGTGTCCATAGCATCAGGTGGAGACAATGTTCCTTAGCGAATACATAGTCATCAAGACCTTGCTATTAAAAGCACACCTTAGTGAAGGATTTCAGTGACCCTGTCCTGGAGCTCTGACTAGGTGCCAGGATTGGTTTAGGAGAGGAAGAACAGCAGGGAGACTGGGCAGGCTTGGGAGGGGGAAAAGCCTGTCTGGTAACATTTTGCATTAAAAACACCTAGAGTTCAAGTTTGCTCAGCTGGCGAGTCTGTCCAGCTTAGAGCAGAGCTAGCACCGAGCCTCAGAGGCTGGGCAAGGTCTGCAAAACTGAACATTCCACCAAGCCTGGGACATGATCCTCCAGGGAGTTTTAGTAGAAACTTTCAGGGGAGCAGGGTCAGTGAGTACATGCCACTTATGGGATTTGTTTGTTCTCTGATCACCAAGATGTGCTAGCAAAACTCTGGAGTCTTTCCCAGAGAGATAAGATGCAGTACAGAAAAAAATAGTTTGTTTCTGGTTCTTAGCACCTCTGTCTATTCTGTTCAAACAGCTGATAAATCTGATACAACTGATAAACTCTCACTTAGTTCAGCATTAGTAGAACTTGCAGCTGGCTTGTTGTTATTTTTTTTTTCCAATGAGTGCTTCTGCAGGCTGCTCTAACCACAGCATTCAAATTTCTCTCCCTCTTTTCTCGGCTGGATGCTGTTGCTGGAGCTCAGCAGGTTGCCCTCACTCAGATGTGTGCAGGCAGTGAAACATCTTCAGCTCGAGATGAGGGAGAGGTGCTGTTCAGAGCAGCATGCTTCAGCCTGAACATCTCCATTTGCTTCAGCATTTTGAAATGTCCCGTTGCCTTAACAATGCCATATCACATATATTTATTCATACTCAGCCTTTTTCTTCTTCTAAGTGAAAGTTAATTGGCAAATTCTGGCTTGCCATTCAAAGCAAGGCGAGAGGTCAAGATTTGCAATAGCTTTCTTGCCAACAGCTGGGATTTTGCCAAAGAGTTTGCTACTGTCACTTTTAGAAAAAAAAAAATCCTGATCTGATGTGACTTCCTGGAGCTTCATGTAACCACATGTGCAGGTAAAGTATATTCCATGATGGTCCTGTATTTAAAGCTACCTCCTGAAGGATGGATATTTCAGTCAGTGTTTTACTCCGTCTGTCATGATATAAACAGCACCTTGGGGAAGGTCTGTCTGGTCTCAGCTCAGAGGAGGAATGCAAGCTGAGATATCTGGTGAAGGGGGCAGTGACTGGAAGTATGTCAGTGCAGTGGGATTCCACTGCAGACCCTCCTGGAGGTGTTTGTCTGTTTTACCAGAGTACAGACCTGCTGCTCCCCACAGCAAGAGATGGCAGCCAGACAGGGAAGCACTTAAAGCTGTACAACACTTCAACTTCATCACAGTAGACATACATGCAGCCTAAAAATGAATTTTTGGATGTTTTCAATGGTCAATTCTATTAATTCATCATTTTATTACATAATGTCTTCTGACCCAGCAATGCTCACAGCTCTTGGAATTAAGCAATGATTGCCTCTGAGAGGACTATACATGTTTGTCTAATATTGCAATAGTAAGTTTTTATCATGTTTAGGAATAAGGGTTTTTTTTAGCTAAGGGGTATGTGAACTATATTTTATTTATCTATATTTATTATAAACATAAATATAAAACAAATATAAAATAAACATTAAACAATAATATAAAATAAACATTATAATGGTTGCATGATAAAAAAACAGGCTGTAGTTTACTTTGTTGTATTTTGCTGTTTCTAGTAATACGATATGAGCACCCCAAGAGAAAATATTTTTGATTTCCCATCTGTAGTTGGCATCTTTTTGTTGTGGTTATTGCTGGAGTAGTGGAACTGGGTATTTGATTTCTTGGATTTCATAATAAATCTTTGGAATTGTGTTTTAACTCACATTTTAGTAGGGAGAAATGCGTGTTTACTTTGTAACAAGAATATTAACTTCAAACCAAAATAAATTTTCCAATATTAAATTGCAGAGATTTTTTAAGATGTGCAACAGTGTTCTATGGGATAATGTGGAAGAAATTCCTTAGGACATTACAGAGTAAATGTAATCCTATTGCAAATGTAGATTTTGTGCAATCCCATAGCTTCATATGTTTTTAATCTATACTTCTCTGGCTATATGGAAAAGATATGGAAAGAATTTCATTATTTTCATTTTTTTCTTCACTAGTATGCAATTAGAGGTATCATATTGCATGCTATAATATATACAGTGCTCAGTCATGCTCAAATAAAGTCCAAGTAAAATGCATATATATGGCTAAATTCTTTTAAAAAATTGAACAGAGAAGCTTAACAACTCAAGTGTTTATTGAACAGAATTTGGAGGTTTCTTATCTTGGTTACTGTAGAAAGTCAGTCCCAGTAAAGCTTCCCAAACCAGTATATACCATAAAAGCCTTAGGAGAGTATGCATCAGTCAAGATATTTAAAATCTATCAGGCTTAAACCTGCCTGTATTCTTCATAAAAATCTGGAAGGACAGCAAAGGCTATTTTGCCTTTTGTCTGTCCCAGTGCTTGCTACAGAATGTGCAGAAATTTCAGCACAAGTCACACATTGGCATCTTCCTAAGTTTTCACTTGTTTGCTGTGCAATACATTCCTTCTTCCAAGTCTGGAGGGATGGAGTTTCTTAATGGATGAATTTCTTAAAGGATGAGTGTTTTAAACTACTTTTTTTTCACCAGCATCAAAGTATGATGATGTTAACGGCATAATCAGAAAACAAGGAATATTATTTTGAACGCACTTCTTCCTGGATTATTGTATGAACAGTAGGGAAACAATAAAAGAAAAGTCTCAGGCCACTAAAATCAGTGGGGTTTTAAATTTATTTGTTTCTAATGCAGGAAATCTATATTTAGCCATAATGATAGATCAGCTGTGACTTAGGTGTCTGGATTCTGTACATCCCTGTTCCTTCTCTGGATGACTATAAAGAGTAGTCAGTAGCATCACTGCTGGCACCAGCAAGAGAGTCAGAACAACAATCTATTAGCCAATAAATAATATATGTAATGCTGGCATAATGCAGCTCTGAGCATTTAGGAGCAGGCTGCGATAAAGACCAGCTGAACTCTTTACAGGGAACAATGGGAACTGACTAATTTGCCCCTCACAGCCCCCTGACAGGGGAGCACAGTGCGCTGTGAAACTTTGTGAGGGCATTTGCAGCCTCAGCCAAGGCAGAGGGGCTGAGCAGCTCTCTCACCACAGCACTGGCACGTGATGCATAAGCCCCTAGGTTTGTGTTATCCCTAGGAAAGTGCTTCCTACTAGGAAATCAGACTTTGCTATTGGGAGGTGTTCTCTCTGCCATCATAACCAGGTACTAGGATGTGAGGAAATAAATGTCAGCCCTTCAGGTAAAACCACGCTACGAGGAAATGAATGCAAAGCTGTGCTGATAATTAACTGAACAAAGCTCTCAAACCTAATCTTCTTTGATGACACTGGAGATGAGCTTCTCCCCCTGATTGCCTAACAAGTTAAGAAATAGAAATCAGTTATGGCAGTACAGTCCAAATACAGAATAAATTTGCCTCAGAGCATTTATAAGGCAGTTCATAAAGTAGTATTTCACAGTGCCTCATCAATAGTTAACTTTTAGAAAATTAGCTGTATTTTCCATATACATAGAGATTAAAAACTACAGTCAAATGCAAGAACTCAGAATGAAGCCACAGTGTTTCTTTTTATACAGGTTTCAGTTGTGTCATTTGCCCTCTTAAGGTATGAAGATTTGGTTACCTACAAGGTTGTTGACCTCATCTCATCTCAAATGGCAGAATAATCCTGCTATAATTTATAGCCATTCATTCAGTGTAAATTTGCATATACCAGAGACATTCTGAGACAGTTTGAGCAGAAAGTGCTGGCAAGCTGCAGAAGCTAGAAGAATCCCACTAATGTATTTAAGCAGACTCAAAACAGTGAATAGGCTTAATTAGCCTTGAAATCACACAACTGTGAATGACAGTATTGAACGTGCTTTTCCAGTGGTTGCTGAGATTAACA